CTATTATAATTGCTCTGGATCATCTTGTCATCTTTATAAATGCCTGCTTCATTTTTTAAACATGATGAACCAAAAAAAATGTGTGGTGATGAATTACGCAGCTCAGATTTGTGCTGTATGTGATGTTTAGCCCCAAAAGTTTACAAATAAATAAAAGAGAGAAGAAATCCATTTCAGAGAGACAGGTAGGCCAAAATTTCAGTTTTCTGAAAGTGCAAGGATCTAAGAGGATTTGTGAAACACTGGGATCAAAGTGAGATTGGCACACATATGTTGTTAAAAAGGTCGCTTTCTGCCCATTCCCATCTATAGGCTCCTGATGCATTTGTAAATCCTCATCCTAAAGTTAGGATTGATGTCACCCATCTTCTGCCATCTAAATCTTATCTGTCTAGATTAAACTAATCTTTGGGCTCTGTCTGCAGTCAGTAGAGAGATGGATACCACAGGGGAAGATTCTTGCAAGAAGATAGCTCAAGGTAGATAAGGAGATTCGCATTTTGGCAGTACCTCTTGCTGTCATTGAGACTAGAACAGGGAGAGATCTCACATGATAGTGAGCTCCATTTCCCTAGCTCAAATAGGAGCTAGTCCTAAACTTTTTGTCTAACAGAAGTTTGCTTAGAAAATCTGGAAGAGAGAGAGATTCTGCAGAAACCCTGAGCAGCCTGGTCCAGGACTTACTGTCCCTACTGTTACGTGGAGTTTTGCCGTTGTGCCTTCGTTACTCCCCTCTGTGCTACAGCTTTGTATTCCCGATCTGTGGGGAGAAGCAGCTCTTTGCAGCTGCATTGCAGCAGCATCCTGTGGGGAGCAGTTAGAAGTGTTCCTCCGGTTTGGGAGGGGAAAGCATTTCTGGATGGTCAAACAGAGGAGCTATCCAGTAAAGTCGACCTGCAGAAGCCCTATGCAGAATGCTGTTAATTAACCCAGGTTAAGTAATACAGGTCTTCCAGCAGGTGACTAAACTTGTGATTTAGCCCCATTCGTTTCCACATCTAGGTCCAGGCTGATGTAGAGAAGTGAACACACAAACACTCTCTAACTTAGAGCTAAAGCCATTTTTCTGCCACCCCACCATGTCTGAGCCTGTCACTGGAGTTACCAAGCATTTAGAATTTTTGCCGTTTGCCTCCTTCATTCCCTGGCTAGCTCTCCCTGCTTCTCTCTCTCTTTCTCTCCCCTTTCCATGCTGAAACGGCCAGTCAGAGCTGTGACGAGAAACCACGGCTCTCCAGCTCGTGTTTGGCACGTGAGGAGATGGGTGTTGACTCCCACCTTTCCCCATCCCTGGCTGGAAGGAGCAGAGGTCAATGTTGATGGCATTGAGAGTGGAGTTTGCACTTTCTGGGCTGGGTGAGTGTGGGGCTGGTGGTGGGGCTGAGTGTGCTTCAGTGGTGGAAAGACAAAGTCCAAGTGACCAGCAGGAAACTTTCAGTCTCTCCATTCCTAGGCCAGAATCTGGCAATGTGCATGTGGCAATAAATCAGGCAAGCAGTGCGGTAGACCTAATTCTATCCTCGGTTGCACCATAAAGCTGAAAGTAAGATGTTCTGTGTTATTGGTGCATTGCAATACTGTGCAGACTATGTATAGGGTTTCAAGCAGAGAAATATCAAAATAACAGCTTGTTGTTGCTGTGGATTCATATTCTGTTCATAATAGGTATTTGACCCTTTATATGCTACACTGAGTTTCCTGTGCTGGAAACTTTAACGTCCCTTCTGAATTTCTTGATATTCTTTGGTTTAAATCAGGCTTTTAACGGTAGTAGTTGAGTGTACTGCTGAATTTTTGTTTGTGTTTGTCTAGTGGGATAGGTTGTAGTTAAGTGAAATGTGTGGTGTAAGCAAAGAGAAATTACTGTATGCAAACCATAATTTTCATGTACTTACTGTTTAGAGTGCTGTGATGAAAGGGATGTATCACAGCATTTTTATCACATCAGCTGCTATCTTTGTCTCTCTACCTGAAGAACAGCAAAGGGCCCCCTTTCATCTGGAGGATTACGAGGCCATTATGATAAACAGCACCACCAGGTTGGGTTGACATTGTTGGAGCTTTCATCTTTTGTTCTAAGTTTTGAAGTGTTATTTGTGGTTCTCTTGTTCCCTGTCTCATGACTTGATGTTTAGTGGGAGCAGAGAGCAGCTCCTTGCCAGAGTTGTTCAGGAAAAATCATTAAACTCAGGAGGGAGGGAGAGAGAAAGAGGGGCCAGCTGAGTGCTTACTCCCTGGTTGGGGATGACCCTACAGGTCTGGAGCTCAGTTCTCGTTGCACAGCGAGTACCTGGATCCCTGCTTCTGCCGCCTTCACCCAAGCAAAATCTACTTAAGCATGAAACATGATATATTGCCCTGTTTCATACCTCTAATCCCAAAACAGGGGTCCATCAGCTGATGGATGCATCAACTGATGAAAGAATATGAGGTCAGAGGACGTGAGCAAAGAGACACTGACACAGTTAGTGGGCAGTGCTGACTTGTTTTGTGTCTGTATTTTTAGCCATGCACCCTGTTTCTTCACCTTTAAGTTGGTTCCATGAACCCAGGAATTTATGCTGGCAAGTATCTGCAAGTATCAGTTTCTGAATGCAGAGAAACCTAATTCCTCTTGGCTGAACTCCAAATAAAGAAAACTCTTATTTTATAGTTGACTCTGGTATTTGCCTTAGTGATTATTGTGTATTCTTTTAATATTGAAATAAGATTCATATATAAAGCAGAACACACAAGAATATATCTCTATGCATTAGGTTTGCGTGACAAAGTTTTTTGCTACAGGGGTGGCTTCTGTGAGAAGCTGCTAGAAGCTTCCCCTGTGTCCGACAGAGCCAATGCCAGCCGGCTCCAAGATGGACTGGCCACTGGCCAAGGCCGAGCCCATCAGCAGCGGTGGTAGTACCTCCGGGAGAATAGATTTAAGAAAGAGAAAGGGAAAAAAAACCAAAACTGGGTAACTGCAGGTAGAGAGAGGAGTGAGATGTGAGAGCAACAACCCCCAGGTCAGTGAAGAAGGAGGCGGAGGAGGTGCTCCAGGTGCCAGAGCAGAGATTCCCCTGCAACCCGTGAGGAAGACCATGGTGAGGCAGGCTGTCCCCCTGCAGCCCAGGGAGGTCCACGGTGGAGCAGGGGGACGCCTGGAGGAGGCTGTGACCCTGTGGGAAGCCCGTGCTGGAGCAGGCTCCTGGCAGGACCTGTGGCCCTGTGGAGAGAGGAGCCCACGCTGGAGCAGGTTTTCTTGCAGGACTTGTGACCCTGCGGGGGACCCACGCTGGAGCAGGCTGTGCCTGAAGGACTGCAGCCCGTGGGAAGGACCCATGTTGGAGAAGTTCGTGGAGGACTGCCTCCCATGGGAGGCACCCCATGCTGGAGCAGGGGAAGAGTGAGGAGTCCTCCCCTGAGGAGGAAGGAGCGGCAGAGACAACGTGTGATGAACTGACCCCAACCCCCATTCCCCGTCCCCCTGCACCTCTGTGGGGAGGAGAGAGAGAATTTGGGAACGAAGTTGTACCCAGGAAGAAGGGAGGGGTGGGGGGAAGGTGTTTTGAGATTTGGTTTTATTTCTCATTACCCTACTCTGATTTGATTGGTAATAAATTAAGTTAATTTTCCCCAAGTCTATTTTGCTCATGATGGTACTTGGTGAGTGATCTCTCCCTGTCCTTATCTTGACCCACGAGCCTTTCGTTCTATTTTCTCTCCCCTGTCCAGCTGAGGGGGTCAGTGATAGAGCGGCTTTGGTAGACACCTGGCATCCAGCCAGGGTCAACCCAGCACACTCTGTAATAATGAGGATAGGGATGTGCTTTTTGGATATAACATTTTTATTTCCTTTCATTTTTTATTGTCATGTTTTCTGGTATTCTTTGCCCAGAATTTCAATCCTTCACCTTTATGCCTGTGTTTATTTAGTATTGCTGCTACAGAGTACTAGCAATATCTACATATATATTGGCTCATTGCTTATGCACTTTAGGGTATGCCTTCAAGCAAAGCCAGAGTCCAGCAAGGGTGGATCCCTCAATGCAAGTGGCAGGGGATGTCATGGTTCAGATTGTGATTTTAAATTCCAGCATCTAAAACGAATTGCCCTGCCCTGTCCCTTCAAACTGAGCATTTCTGTTGCTCCTCTTAGATCATATACAAATATTCAGTGGAAAAGAAGAGGCAAGAAGAGAGAATGAAATTTAATCATTTGCTTCTCCTTTCTGAGAGCAGCAGCATCTTTCCATTAGCCTGTGCTGCAGTGTAGTTCAGCTGGTTTGGTGGTCATGCCCAAACAAAGCCTTGCAGCTGGTGATAGGATATTGCGTGGAAATTAATAGGGACCCAAGTCTGCAACTCTCCCGTGTGTCTGTGAGGAGATGGAGCCATGGCCAGGCTGTCTGCTGGTGCTGTGAGCTGCAGGTTGCACAGCCCATACAGGGGGAAAAAAGCATCTGTGCTGGATTCTTCAGTTTCTCCATGTGCAAGGAGATGGCCCGAGGGAGGTGACTCTTCCTCATTCAACAGACCCAACTCAAACTCCACAAATTCATCTCAGTTGGCAGCCAAGTGCCAAGGAGTTCATCAGGGAGGCAGGTGGATTAAGAGGGCTGGTTTTCAATGGGTAGGATCTGACTCGAAGAGAACAACATGCTTTCCATGCCAAATAAGAAGATTGTTACTAATTCCTTTCTTCCAGGGTTTAAAATCCAGCGTGCTGGCACCCGTCCCATACATACACATTACTCCGAGCACAGCTGCAGGGTTGTCCATACATAAATCCTGGTCTGCAGTTTGACAGCAAGGTGAAGATGATGACTGAGCAGGGGGAGAAATGTGGTGTCAGGGGGAGCATCGTGGTGGGGAGCACCTTCTCAGAGGCCACGTAGTTGTGCGAAGAGGGCTGTAGCTGACGTGCCTTTGCTGATCTCGGCTTGAGTGTGCTTGTCGGGACTGAGCAATGCCACAGACGTAGCCCTGCTACACCTTTCTCTTCCTCTTGTGTTTTGCAGCATCCCCTTCAATTAAGCTTCTTGTGGATGACCCGATAGTGGTGAACCCTGGAGAAGCCATCACCTTAGTCTGTGTGACGACAGGAGGGGAGCCAGCCCCCAGCCTGACGTGGGTGAGGTCTGCCGGCATCCTGCCCGAGAAGACGGTCCTGAACGGCGGCACTTTAACGATACCTGCCATCACGTCAGAAGATGCTGGCACGTACAGTTGCATTGCCAATAACAATGTTGGAAATCCTGCGAAAAAGTCTACCAACATCATCGTAAGAGGTAAGCTGAGCTGGCAAACTATTGACCTTTATCTTGGAAGATTAATTGAATCCTAATCTGGCAGGATAGCAATGGTCACGCAGTGGTGTCCTATGTTTCTAAATGCATTTCTGGTCATTTCTAATAATGTATGAGATGAATTAGTGTTGGCTTCAAATAGCCAGTGGCCCTTGTGCTGGGCTCAAACTCCTTAGCTGGAACAAGGGTGGGGTGGTGCCCCTTTGTATTACGAAGATGCAGCAGCTCTCCCATCCAAACTGGAGACAAACAATTGTGAAAGGACACCGTGTGTTCTGGGCATTGCCTGTGCTGATTCCCTGCGCACACTGTCTTGGCAGTGAATGCGTCCTGAGCTCCTGGAGATGTCATTACCTATTTCGCCCTTTTCTTCCTCCTCATCAGCTGAACATGTTATTGAAATTAAGGCTGTTGTGCATGCTGTGAATCTGCTGCCATCAGACGACTGCTCCCTGGGTAGGAGCTTTAGATTAGTACCTATGCTTTAATTATACTAAATAGTGGGATAAATGTCTGTCTCAGATAAAAGTAAGAGAAGAGTGCTTCCAGAACAATTACTGCCAGGTGGAGAGAAACTCTCCCTGGTTGTTTATCGCTTTCTGGAAAACCCCAGGGACATGGCCGGTTGGTTTGAAGGAGTTTGATTGGCTGATAGGCATCATCAGAGTGGATTAATCTACCTGAACCAAACAGTTCATCTGAAACTAATTTTCTATAATCTAATCTGTGAATGGTAGTGAAACATAAACTCCCACACTATAGGAACTTTAAATAATAGCATGTGATTAATCATACTCGGGAGAAACTGCTGTATAGAGCCAGTGGTGTGAATATTTTATGAGAGCCATAACCCCTGTTCACTTCTTATTGCCCAACATATCATACTCTTCAGCAGAACGAGGAATTAGAAGCTATTTCTGTTCTGGGGGTCAGGGAGAGCATTGCATCAGCCTAGGTCTGCAGGAATTTATCAGGAGATGTCCACAGATTTATTTCTAATATTGTATTTCCATTTGAATTTTTGACATTTGGATTAGGGATTTTGTTGTCGAGAGGCAAAAGCAGTCTTGTTTCAGGAATATACCATTGACATTAATTTGCTGTGATTTACAACGGTGATGAGGTTGTGAAGGGGAGATGCGAGTGAAAAACACACTCGGAATAAGCAAAGGGAGAGGAAAGGCTTTGTGTGAAAAGAAATCTTGCTATTTTAATTGACCCAGCAGACAGCACCAGAGAGCCCAGAGGAAAAGCCAAAGTCCCTAGCTCCCTGCAGATACAAATTTCATGAGTCATGGCATGATAATAATATGCCCTCACATTTTTATTTATAGAAGACCATGCCTATGAGATGCCTAGGAGCTGCAACATGTTGAACAAAATGTCATTAAAGCATTTGAGGTGACTTTTTTGGCTTTTCCTCTCTGCTGTATGGCCCTCTTAATTCTGAGAAGGGACTGCAATGAGGAACAACCCATTAAATAAATGAAGCGCAGCTCCTTTCTAGCCCCATTGCATTGCTACCTGCTATGATTTCCCCCTTATTATTTCTGTTAAAGGGGAAGAACTGTATTTTAGAAAAAAATCTTTATTCAAGTCTTGGTTGATTTACCTTTACTAAAAGTGATGGTGAGTTTAGGAGTGAAATATGAGAGAAATTCATATCAGAGTTCTGATTTTACTTTGTGTATATGTTTCTTGCCATTTTGCCTTTAGCTCATTGCTTCTCTCCGTTTCATCTCTTTTTTTGTTATTGTGTATCAGAATTTTCACACAGCAGCTGAGGAGAAAAGAGTATTTACTTGAAATAGCATCTAAGCCTTGCAGGAGAAGCATTTGGTAAATGGAGTTCACATTTTCTGTCAGGTGGACTACCAGTCCCAGGATTAGACTATAATCCCCTAATCTTACCCAGAAAGAAATGTAAAGTTGTCTCAAAGCATCATCAGGGCTCAGATGAAATTTGTTCCCTTTAAAATTCACTAAATTTCACTGTGCATTTATCTGAATGTGTCTTGATTGGATGTGCTTCATTCCATGGATGCTACCTTACCTTCAGCAGCTCTTGATTTTTTCTGCGCATTTTCCCATCTTTGTGGCTGTCTGCCCAAGTCTATGACTACCCACCACACCTGACTTCGAACCCATTGTGAATGATGTCATATGACTGCCACACATTTAATAATAATTAAAAAAAATCTAAAACCAGAGGTAATCCTTCAAAAAGAAACAATTAAAAGTAAATAAATGAATAACAAAATAATTTATCATTTTTGAAAGTCAGAAATTATGTGGATTAATAAGGACTAGAAGAAACAGATGAAGCTGTGTTTAAAGAGCAGATTCAGGCATTGAGGCACTGACGTGACACCGAGGTGTATTCATGTCAGCTCTGTGTTCCTCCATCAGTCTTTTCTCAGACCCTTAAAAAGTGTGGATAAATATAGTGAAATGGGAAGATGACCAGATATGATGGCTTGGGGGAATGTATATCACCTGAAAGATGGTGCAAAATGTGCCTGCGTGGAAGTGCTGTGTAATGTGTGTTCTCTGCTTCTCCATGGTGTAAATAACTAGTAATATGTGTTCTCCACTTCTGCAGGGTCTAAATAATTAGTTTCTGCAATTGTCATGTGCTGCTGAAGGGGTGGTGGGATAGCAGGTGCCACTAAAGGTCTCAATGCATTGCTTTCCATTTGTTAGCTCCCAGGATTTATCTGGAAGCCTCCTAGTATGCATAAGCCTTTAATATGTTCCTTGTCTTTCCACTGTTACTTGATTTCCTCTCCTTCCAGTGAGCATTGGCACAGAAGGAGATGTTTGTTCTTAAAATAAAAAACAGACTAAAGCTGCCGTTGCAGCGAAGAACCTATTAGTCATAACCGTCTTTGGATTCTTTTTCTTTTTTTTTTTTTTTTTTTCCCTCTTTTGACCTGCATAACTTAAAAGTAATTGTAAATCCTTCCAACAAAAACAAGCTGGGTCCTTGCTCGTCGGTTCAGATGAACACGGATCCCTTGCAAAACAACAGGCGTTACACACAGGTGCTGAGGGAAGAGAGTCCCTCATACGCTGCCTCCTTAAGCAGTTAAACTAATACTTTCAGATAAAGCAACGTCCTTTAAAGATACCCCTTTCTTAAGCAAGTTGTAAGCTGCAAACTCCGCTCCCTGTGTCTCTGTTCTGCTGAGATGTTGTGTTAGTGCTTTTCCCTCTCGGCTGTCAGATAATGTTAATGAAAGTTTTGCTGAGATGATAAAGAGAAATTGTTTTGAGTACCACAATGCCGTTCCTTAAGAGGTACAGCCATAATGTAATATCTTTCATTTCCTCCGTTTGCTTTGAACAGGAGCTCACCAGAGGCAAATCAGTGACCATGTGCTATTTACCTGTTGAAATCTCAGTGAGAAAGTCTGTGAAATACAGCCTTTTTAAAGAATGCCATTATCAGCTTAACTGTACCCAAAGTTATTGCAAAATATTTCATTCCATCAAAGACATTGTCATCCATCAAGGTGCCTTGGGTCAAACCAGAGAAAGAAATGCTCTCTCATTTCAGCAAAGCTGGCTGCTCACCAATTCTAATTATGAAAGTTTCTTTCTAAGTATTTTCTTTAGATTAATGAGTTCTTTAAATGATTGCAAGTCTGCTAGCATTTGAGTATTGGTGGGTGTTCTCATCAGTGGCATCTTCACATCCTGCTCTCAGACTGATGATGAGATTCCAATAACATATTTCTAGACAAAACCATTAGAAAGCAGAGGAAGCTCTAAGGGAATCTTGACTCTTCTCATTCTAGTGAAACTTGATTTTTTTATCCTTGTTTAAAAAAAAAAAAGGCAGTCTTGAGCAGCAAATCCAATACAGCCCTTCTGGATAAACAAAGTTCCTAACAACCTCCATGCCTGATATGTGTATTGTTTGCTGTGCTGGCTTGGAGGATGTTCTGTTTTTCTGACTTTTCCATGATAGAGCAAAACAATGTTGTTCTGGTGCAATAGAAATCATTTGTCAGAAAGGCCAGGAAGGGGGAAATCTGTTGCACTTCTTTCAGAGTTTTTTCCGACCCAAAATATTTCTGTTAATTTGCTTTCATCATGAATTTGTTGCTATATACCTCTGTTGGTCTCAGCTAGAGGTAAATCATAGAATGGTTTGGGTTGGAAGTGACCTCAAAGATCACCTAGTTCCAACCCTGCTGCCATGGGCAGGGACACCTTCCACTAGACCAGGTTGCCCAAAGCCCCATCCAACCTGGCCTTGAACACTCCAGGGATGGGGCATCCAGAAACTCTCTGGGCAACCTGTTCCAGTGCCTCACCACCCTCACAGTGAAGAACTTCTTCCTTACATCTAATCTAAATCTACCCTCCTTCAGTTTAAAGCCATTACCCCTTGTCCTATCCCTACATGCTCTTGTAAAAAGTCCCTCCCCATCTTTCCTTTAGGTACTGGAAGGCTGCTGTAAGGTCTGCCTGGAGCCTTCTCTTCTCCAGGCTGAACAACCCCAACTCCCTCAGCCTGTCTTCACAGGAGAGGTGCTCCAGCCCTCTGATCATCTTTGTGGCCCTCGTCTGGACTCACTCCAACAGGTCCATGTCCTTCTTACGTTGGGGACCCCAGAGCTGGACGCAGTACTGCAGGGGGGGGTCTCACCAGAGTGGAGCAGAGGGGGAGAATCCCCTCCCTCGACCTGCTGGTCACGCTTCTTCTGATGCAGCCCATGACATGGTTGGCTTTCTGGGCTGCAAGCGCACATTGCCGGCTCCTGTTGAGCTTCTTGTCATCCAACACCTCCAAGTCCTTCTCCTCAGGGCTGCTCTCAATCCACTCATCCCCCAGCCTGTATTTGTGCTTGGGATTGCCCCGACCCATGTTCAGGACCTTGCACTTGGACTTGTTGAACTTCGTGAGGTTTGCATGGGCCCACCTCTCCAGCCCACCAAGGTCCCTCTGGATGGCAAGCATAATCAGTCTTGAT